CTTGGTTGCTGTTTTTGTTTTGATATTGATGATGGTCCGTGTTCACCTCGTGCAGGTCCTTCAGGGTCTAGACTACCTCCACACCAAATGTAAAATTATCCACACAGACATCAAGCCAGAAAACATTCTTCTGACCGTCAATGAGTTCTTTATCAAGAAAATGGCCGTCGAAGCGACGCAGTGGCAGAAGACTGGTGCGGCGCCACCCTCTGGTTCTGCAGGTCATACTTTTATTTTCTCCTCTGAGCGCCTCCGACCAAATTCATGTTTGATCTACAATTTGCTCGTCGTGTCATGAAATGCTGGTCGATTGCCAGTTTTGAATTGACATCACTAAACAATTAGCAAGAGGAGTTGTTTATTGATGCCATCTAAATGACTAAAACTTTTTGTTTTTTTTTTTGGTTTGGAGCAGTTAGCTATGAGTCACCATTAAGTGTGGATGTGTAAATGAGCACCTTGCTCTTTGGAGTGAGAGTCTGCCTCTGCATGAGTCTGTTAATACATCTTGGTGTGAGTCAGCTCCCACAGAGGTGATGGATGTACCGCCCATGTCCTCTCGTAACGTAATCCTCCTCTCATTTTCCTCTTCCCACAGTGAGTACAGCTCCAGCACCCAGGCCGGTATATATATTTTTAATATATATTTTTTTTCTGTTATTTAAAAAAACTGACTCATATTGGTGATTGTGCAAAAACACATCAGGATTTCTTATCCATTTGTTGTTTCTTTCAAGATGGCCAAAATGTCAAAGAACAAAAAGAAGAAAATGAAGAAGAAACAGAAGAAGCAGGCGGAGCAGCTCGAAGCGGAAAGAGGAGTGACACTCGAAGCAAGAGAGGAGGACACCGCAGAAACGACATCTGACATCTCCTCTGACCCCGTCTCTGTGTCGGCCACTCTGCAAAAAGACAAGAAGCATCCTGTCACCGGTGATTGACCAAACTACCAACTCAACCAACATGATTGCAAACCCTAAATGCAAACATGGAGAATGTTGAATTAATACCTCTCTGACAGTGTCAATAAGAATATTTGCATGATCCTCCTTGCAGAGGCACTTATTGCTAGGGCTTATCTTGTAGAACGTGTTGAAAATAATCAAGTGGTTGGTGAGTACATTAGTGTTCTCATTTTATCTTTTACAGAGTCTGCAACTGTCGGGCTACCCCAACAGATGTCACAACCAAGTGTACCCACAGAGGGCGCCACCAAGGAGGAGAGTAACATGGAGGTCAACTGCAACGGTAACACCTCCACGCCGGTTAGCGAGGCCAGCTGGGAAGGCCAGGAAGATGGGACCAACCAGTCTGCGGAAGAGCTGCAGGACCAACGGAATGCAAACCAAGTAGATGATAAAACAGAGACTCTTGACAAAGTATGCAACAAAGACAACCTTCAGAGCTGCAACGGTCCCTCGGAGGACCCCGAGCCTCAGTCGCAGCAGCAGCAGCAGCCACCTGCCTCCCTCAGCTCAGACTTTGTCACCTCAGAGATGAATGATGGCGTCAAAGGCGAGAAAAAGGATGAGGATATGGACACGCAAGGGGAGAACAAAACACGAGGTCAAGATGAAGAGAACAGCCAAAACGGTTAGTTGGTACCAATACGATTTCTAAATAGCCAAAAAGAACAATTACTTTGTATTTGAGTTATTCTTATTGGTGTGGATTATACTCATTTAGGTGCCGTGCTTTCACACAGATGTCATGCCTTTCAGTTGTGACCACTGAAAACATTATCAACCATGGAATAATGTTATGTAAATGACAGGGAACCGCTTAAATATCATGACCATAACTTAGTTGCATCCAAGTGTAATCTTGTGTTTTAAGTTGATGCTACTTTTGTCAAGTGCGAGGGTTCTCCTGTCACTCATCAGCTGTGCTCGGACTTCTTCCAACAGAATCATCGAGTAGCTTGTTGGTAAATCCCCTGGACCCTCTGAATGCCGACAAGTTGCAGGTTAAGATTGCTGACCTTGGAAATGCCTGCTGGGTGGTGAGTATTAAAAATACTGTGGAGCTGCGTCAATCAATGGATTTGTCACAAATACGTCCACTGAAAAAAATCAATTTCTGCCTCGCGCAGCACAAGCATTTTACAGACGACATCCAGACTCGGCAGTATCGTTCACTCGAGGTGCTGATAGGATCTGGCTACAGCACACCAGCAGACATTTGGAGCACTGCCTGCATGGTAACGACGAGGAGCGCAAACGCACATGTCGCCTTCACAAACAGAAACATCTCATTGTGACAGGAAATGATATTCCATCCGTTTGTCATTCTGGACATGGAAACACCACGTTGTGACACAGTTGTTAGTTACCATAAGACACGGGCTTGCTGAGCAATCACATTACTGCATTCCTCTGTGTAAAAACAGAGGTAGTATTTAACTGTGGGTGTCATGAGAGTGGGTTCATGACACTCCAATTGATTACAAAAAAAAAATCCATGAGCCCTTGGCAAGATGCAAATGCTGCTTTGACAAGGATACACTTTATGTGAACTTTTTAAAAATACTTAAAGCTCATGGTTTTTCTCTGTCTTCAGGCCTTTGAACTGGCAACGGGAGACTATTTGTTTGAACCCCACTCAGGAGAGGATTATTCCCGAGATGAAGGTTTGTGGGAAATCATGAGTCCAACTAATATTTGACATATCCGACGTGAACTGCAGGCGAAACAGAATATATTTGACACTGCCTCCCTTTCTTTTAATTGTGACTCACGTGTTTTGCCTCCAGATCACATAGCTCTGATCATTGAGCTGCTCGGCAAAGTTCCTCGCAAGCTGATCACGGCAGGCAAATACTCCAAGGAGTTTTTCACCAAGAAAGGTAAAAACACCCACAGCGCAGACACAAACCTCACCTTAAGAGCCCGATCACTCCAGGGAGTCTCCGTCTGCTGCCTCTGAGTACAGAAACTGCTTGTAGGCTGTAGTGCAATTTTTAGATTAGCAGTTGACACAAGTCAGACTCACTCTTAACTCTTATAATCCCCATGACGTATAAAATAAGTCTTGGGGAAAAAAAAAAAACACTACGGCCGCCTACCGATGACATATTTCTTCACATCTTTTGCGTCACTTGTCACCATTGAGTGGCCATGATTTCCCAAAGTTTAAAGAATGCCTATTGAGGCCAGAAGATGGTGGCAAAGCACTATTTTTCTTTTAGATCGGACTGTGGGCGGAATAAACTAAGATTCTCCCCTCACTGGAATATTGTTTCGTAATACCAAGATGCCACATGATGGCGCCAAAGCAACAATGAATTAGCCTGCCAATAATGGATGATAGCTTTAAAAAGAAACAAATCAGATCCTTGCCAGTATTTGAGAGATTCCACGTCACTCTCTCCCTTTTGAAATGTCATTTTTACCCAGGTGACCTGCGACACATTACAAAGCTGAAGCCATGGGGGATGTTTGACGTGTTAGTGGAGAAGTACGAGTGGTCCAAAGAAGAGGCCCACAACTTCAGCAGCTTCTTGCAGCCCATGCTGGACCTTGTTCCTGAAAGGAGGGCCACAGCCGCTCAGTGTCTCTCTCATGCTTGGCTGGCATAAGAGGCGGTCGGCGCGTTGCGCGTACACTGCTGGGCTTGAAACCGCAACAAAACGGTGACTGTACACTCTTCATGGCCTTCAGATGCAACCTGCACATACTTGTCAGACCAGCTAAAGACGGCACCTCAGTCACCTTCCATGTTATGTAGAATAGAGTACTGACGAAAGAGGAAGCCCAAATCCTCTCTTCCTTTTTCAGGGCCAACCTTTTTTCCTTTTTTTGGTGTCTCTTCCACGTAACGCTTTTGGATATTTAGGTACTCTTGGAAATGAAGCTCCATAATAGAAAGAACACAGGTTGCCGTTAAAATCACCGATTGATTTAGATGACTAAGAAGCCAAATATGTGCGGTCTTGTTTACCATTGCATTAGCTGTGCCATCTTTTATATCTTGAGATGTCAAAAGCCTTCAAAGTACTTAAACCGAATAAATGCAAAAATGCTGACCGCCACAGAAAGGACTAGGAAGTCTTCTTGCCCCAGCTCGGTAAGCGAAAACATTTCTACATTTGTAACAATTAGAAGCGGAAAGAGGATTAGATTTTATACATTTTGCTATGGATATTCTTGTTTTCAGCTTGGCACAACGCAATGTCGACAACCCCCATGGCATTCTTGTTTATTAATATGAGACTAGATTTTAGTAACTAAACATCAATAAGGACCTACATGGATTCAAGTGTTTGGATGCAATCATGACCTTTGCCGCATAAGCATTCACGTTTCGGGAATCTTTCAGTTCAGGTCCTTTCCAACGGCATGAAAATGGGCTGTACTCAAATAAACGATAACGGTACACTAAACCTCTCATTACGCACACACCTCATGGAATTTGCTTAGGTTCTCTGTCATGTCTCCTCTTCAGCCAAGTTTTTTTTTTT